AGAGAGAGAGAGAGAGAGCATGTAGATGATATTCTTTTTTAGAGAAAGTTACCATGTTGGGTGTTGGAGTTGTATCAATAGGATCAGAGAGAACCCTTTTTCTGTCATAAAAATTTTCAGACTACTACCAACTCTTGACACCCTTTATTGGAAGTTACCATGTTGAGTAGGATCCCTCAACCCAACACCCCAGCCCTACCAAGGGGTTATCATTGAGGTGTATTAGCAACCATCATGATTATAACTTATACTAAACAAAAATAAAAAAATAAAATAAAAAATAAAACAAAATAATCTGAACTAACTAGGGACACACAGACTACCAAACTCTAATAATCACGAAGTCCTTGGCTACACTCCCTGATGATATGCTGTCATACTTATAATAAACTTTGCTACTAAAGTAAGTTAATGTAGGTCTCCCAACTCAATGGTTCTTTTTAATAGAAACGTTATTTAATAAAACAAGAAACTAATTATTGACACATGACTGGTGATTAAAAAAATTTGAAAGCACAATCTTCTGCAGATTTGTTTCAGCTGCGCCATGTTCCTAACCTACTGCATGCTAATCTTGACAGATTATTGAGTGCAACAAGACAAATGCTGAAAGAGGGGAACCTAGCGTGCGGCCGGCGAATCAAACGTGGCGCACCTAAATTAGTGTTAGATCCAACTGGGTCATCAGTAAACTGAAGGATGCAGATATCTAAGTTGTTGAGAAAGAATAATAAGCAGGTATAAATATTCTCTTGTTGGTAGTTTGCAGCGATTGGAATAGTTTTAGTTAGAATCCTCACATGGCTCAATTATAGATGTTATGAGCTTAAAGTCAGAAATATTGACCTAGGCATTATAGGGTTTGGACTGTATTTTGTTTCTTTTAAGTTCTTTTTAATGGAACAGAGTGTTTTTGCATCATTCGGTTTTTCTAAAGCTAAATGGCCTCCTGCGAAAAAAAAAGGTGATATGTTAGGAAATACTAGAGGCCCTACATAAAAGTGAGCCCCTCCAAGTGCTTGCGTACTCATACTTATGCAGTTTATTTTGAAGTACACAACCAAAATCACCAGGACAACCTCTAGAAATCACACATATATTATTATAAAGAAAACATATTACTTCAACTTGCCATCATAGAACAAAATTACTAATTAAGCATGCTCAACACTTCTTAGTGTAAAAGTGAGTGCAAGAACCAAGCAAATTGGTGGGGTTACTGACGCCCCAAAGTCCCTCCTCTCCCCCTTTCCCTTGTATATATAGCCATACATATGTGCATACGTTTCTTAGTAGCCTATCTCTCTAAAGCTCAGTCACAATTTCTGCCACCACTGTCACCACCAGGTACATCATTGTCACCGGGACTGCACCTAAATCATGTCGCCGCACGAACCTGAGAACAGCGTCGCTCACCCAAGTGAGCCAGTGATGAATACAACGGTCGTCGCATACCCAACAAACCATTCAAACCAACGGCAACAAATCCACACCGGTTCAGTCTATCCGGTGACCCTCAAGGTATTGTCAGTTCATAAGCTTAAACTATTAGGTATTTGACTTAATAGGTATTGACTTGTGTATATGCACATATTTCACCTTTGAAATTCTTTGACAGTTTGAGGAAGTCGTGTACAAAGTGAAACTGAACCATGGAGGGGGGTGGCCATGTGGCGGTGGCGGCATGTCAGCCAGCTGTCTGACTGAAAAGACGATACTGAACGGCGTGACCGGGATGGTGGGCCCCGGGGAGATGCTGGCGATGCTGGGCCCCTCTGGCAGCGGCAAGACCACCCTCCTCACACCCTCCTCACAGCCCTTGGCGGCCGCCTGACCAAGAACAAGCTCTCCGGCAAGGTCACCTACAATGGCCTCCCATTCTCCAGCTTGATCAAACGCCGTACCGGATTCGTCGCCCAGGACGATGTCCTCTATGCTCACCTGACCGTCAGCGAGACCCTCATCTTCACTGCCCTCCTACGACTACCCAGGACTCTTTCCAAAACCGAGAAGGTGCAACATGCACAGCACATAATGCAAGAGCTCGGCCTCACTCAGGTGGCTGATAGTATCATTGGAGGTCCCTACCTCCGGGGGATATCGGGTGGGGAGAAGAAGAGGGTGAGCATAGGTCAGGAGATGCTTGTGAACCCTAGCTTGTTGTTGCTGGATGAGCCGACTTCGGGTTTGGACTCGACGAATGCTCAGAGAATCATGACGACGCTCAAGAGGCTGGC